ATTTTATTGTAAGGTGCCATGAGAACTATGCTATGAGATAGTATAGAGGGTTATAAATAATGGCATGCTGTCTTGCTGCTCCATTGGGCATTCAAGGCAGCACAAAATATAAAGTAAGAACATAACACAACAACATGAATTGAAGACAGGAGTTAAAAGCAAAATTTAAAACAGCTGTAGTGTGTCATAATATAAAAATAAAGTAGGCTCTAGAAATGATGGTGGAGTGGGAACTACTGAATGCTTGAACAGAAAGAATTGACTTCATCTGTCATGTAAAAATTATAAGGATGGTTCACGGAAACATCTCATAGGAAAAGTTCTATAACTGCAGTGGAGCTATAGAAAAGACCCCCTCCTGGTATATACTTAACTAATGCCTGAAGGTGACAATACCTGGAGAATGTCCTCAATCATTTAACCTGACAAATTAATCCTTATTGGAGAAGATGATTCTATATAATATTTAGCATTTTAAAATTAAAATAACATCATAGCTACTAATCTCTTTTGTACTAGGCTCCTGTAATTTGCCTCTGGTGTTATGGAGGGGTCACGTTACCCATGGATAAATGGTATTGAGTTGGGCTTCAGCACTGGCAAAGATGGCCTTGTTTGGTGAACAAGTGGGTGACTGTGTGTGTTCCGTGCTGCTCCTTCCATCAGCTCCATTCTCTCGTCTTCGTCACCAGAGGATATAAATTACTGCTTAAATGACAATTTCTTTCAGTGGTGTTTCTGCAGTTTTGTGGAGCACGCATGTGGGGCACCACCAAGCAGAAACTTTTCAGCAGTCCTCCCCGAGAGACTGGATTGTAACTTCTGAAGTGGCCCTAAGTTGATGACAAACAAGGTATTTTGTGTCCCTGTCCTGAGTGAAATGAGTTGTTCTGAAGACTTCCCATGTCTTGCTGGTTGCTTTTCAAATATATTAATAAACACAATTGTCTTTAAGCAGGGTGAAGTCTGAAATGTAGTAACTGGTTGTTTCTTACTATGTTTTCTTGTTCTAGAAATGGAATTTCCTTCATCTTTAACCAGTACTGAAAGAGCTTTTATTCACCGTTTAAGTCAGTCTCTTGGTCTGATTTCTAAAAGCAAGGGGTAAGTTGGTATATTAAATAACATCCTCAAATGTAAATGGAAGTAATGTGTGACTCAGAAGTAATGTTTCTGGTACTGAAATGTACTGGAATATTATTAATTATGTCCTGAGGAATGACATCTGCTACTATTTTAAACTAATAACTTACAGGGGTCTACAAGTTTGGATCACATCCCCTGACTAGAATCTGTACCCATTGCAGCAATAACTGACAACATGCGTTTAAAGCCATTTAGGGACCAGTGGCAAAAATAGCTGCTATAGTGTATACAGCTTGTGTAGCTTTGCCTTTTCAGGCTTTCAAGAGAACACCTTTTAGAGTAATAAAATATTTAATTCTTCTGTTGAAGAAAGTCTGATATTTTATTAGCTTATTTTATTTTTGGAAGTTGGACCAGAGGTTGAAGCAACTTTTGGATGGGTAAATTTGAAGTACTTCGGCCTAGAATTCCTTTTTTAGTTGTATTTTTGTGTGATAGCTGTTATTCGGATAGGCTTGCAGATGTTTCTTATTCTGTTTTCCATTCTCTGTGTACAAATTACAGGAGGAAGTACACCTCGGTGTTTTCATTTTTTTAAAAAAAGATCCTTCATGGCTACATGTCTAGGATACAGAGACTCCACAATGCTAGACTTATTCTAGCATAGATATTTAATAACCAGTCCTTTTGCTTAAATAAGTCTTGTGTGTAACCCATCCTCCATTCATTGTGATTTGATGCACTACTGAAAAATAAGAATTAAAATCCAATGAAACGTTCATTGAAACTGACAATTAAAACCTAAGAACAAAGTTTGGGTCCAGTGGCACCTTTAAGACCAACAAAGTTTTATTCAAGATATAAGTATTCATGCGCATGCACACTTCAGAAGCTTATACCGTGAATAAAAGGTTATAACTTGAATAAACTTTTGTTGGTCTTAAAGGTGCCACTGGACTCAAACTTTATTCTGCTACTTTAGACCATCACAGCTACCCACCTGATTCTGCCTTCAATTAAAACCTAAGATACTGAAAACTAAGAGAGATTAATTTTTTTCATGATCTTATGTAAACAAAGAATTTAAACCTAAAATGTAAAATGTGGGAGGCTGGATATATGACAAGTAAAACAGTTTTATCTGAGACTTTGTGGACTGTATCAGTATTAAACACATTAATATGTCAGTAAAAATTTTTATGTACCCAGGCACCCCTACCATATCTGTGAGACAACTATGGTAGTTGAAGAGTAGAGCTTCTGATAAATCTGTTTTTTCCTTGTGCCAAATACAAAATGACTCAATTTTTCAGGAAAGGAGCAAACAGATATCTAACTGTGAAGAAAAAAGATGGATCAGAGTTGGCACACACAATGATGACATGTAATTTGATCCCTACCACAAAACATGCTATTAGAAGCCTCGTACAGCGATTTCCTGTTACCAATAAAGAGCGCACGGAGCTTCTGCCAAAGACAGAAAGAGGAAACGTATTTGCTGTTGAAGCTGGTATGTATATTCTGATAAACTTGTTAGTGAATTAATGGAGAAGGATGTTAACATACAAAAATAATGTCTGGTATGCGTTATTTATTTATTTATTTACTTCATTTATACTCTATCTTTCTCTCCAATGGGGACTCAAAGCAGCTTACATTGTTCTCAATTTTACCTTACTTAGAACGCTGTTTTTAATGTACATACGACCTCACTGTTGTAATTCCATAGTTTATATGTATAAATATGATGGTTGCTGTACCTGTGGCGTGCATGCTTTCCTGTTTGAGGATGCTGGAAAAGCCTTGAATATTTGGCAGTGCTTTGCTGGCATTTCATTGTTAGGTGGTATTTTCATGTAGGACTAACAGCTGTTGTCCTGCAAGCTGAATATTCTGTTCATCTGGATAAACATAAATATGCAAAATCATAATTTAGCTTTTCAGATAAAATGAAAACATTGTGGCATTCATTTTAAAAATACTTCTCAGATGGTCTCACAACACTTTCCAGACCAAAGCTCCAAGCCTGTGTCATGCTAGTTTTCTGGTAGTGTTATAATCATATGACTAGTCACAGCAGTTTGACTAAAGTTGCATGGCTACTAAGCTGCATAGTATTTTAAGCCCTGGTTTTGTTGTATACAGTGGCAGAAGGCTATAAGTGTAGCATAGTTACTTGTGCATCAAGCCCTTCAAAAAAAAATTCTGGATGTTCTAGAGGCTGAGCAGTTCTTATTAATTCTATCCCTCCTTACAAAAAGACTTCCCTGTTTCTTCATAGAGACTGGATTTTGTGTTGCTACTGCTACTTTAGGTGTGTGTGTGCGTGTGTACTTAACTGTGTTGGTCAGCAATATTTAGTTTTATGTAACTAAAGAATCAGAAGCACATTAGTACCTAATCTGATGCAGTCATTACTTTTGTTTTTCCCTAGAAAATAGAGAAATGAGCAAAACAAGTGGCAGACTCAACAACGGCATCCCTCAAATCCCAGTTAAGAGGGGAGAATCGGAATTTGATTCCTTTCGACAATCTCTGCCAGTTTATGAAAAGCAGGATGATATTGTTAGAATTATTAAAGAAAATAAGGTTATCTTGATAGTGGGGGAAACTGGATCAGGTAAAACTACTCAGGTATGTAACATGCTTATCCAAATTACGCATAGAAATATTTTATAATTTGAAAATATAAACACTAGGGATGGGCACAAACTTCGCCATGAACCTAATTTCATCACAAACATGACCAGTTCGTAGTTCGTGAGGCCTCAGTTTGTGAGATTGCATTGCCCACGAACTGCCATGTTTTTTACGGAGGTTTGTTAGGTTCATGGCAGCAGTTCGTGAGCCAGACATGCTGGTGTTGATTAATTAATTGTCAAAGCAGCAGGGGGGACTTGGCATCACCAGCTGCCCTTGCTGTACCTGTCCATCGACTTGGTTTTCCAGCTTGCTGCCCCCCCCGCATTAGACTTCCCCCCCCTTTTGTAGAGGGGCATCCCAAGGAAGTCCACTGGAGTTAGATGCCTCTGACTTGCAGGGGGTCTATTCAAATTGGCACACTTCTGAACCAGTGTTCCATCTAAGCTCAGTTAGTGTGAGCTAGCTCACAGTTTTTTAGCCTCTGGTTCACACATTTTTGTCTTCGCTCAGCTAATATATGCAGTAGGCAAATTGCTCGCTCACAACTTTAATGTCAGTAGCTCATAAAGTAGAATTTCTGCTCACAAGACTCCACAGCTGGAGCATTGTTCTGAACCTATGGCTGCTGTGATTTCCCCAGAGAGCACTTTCCTGGGACTACCTACTTTTGGGGGGCTGCTACTTGGCCCCCCCAAGCCAATCTGTACACAACTTTGAGGACAGGTAGAGGGGCTTTCTAGGGAAGTCCTCTGCGAGTTTGATGTTTCTAGCTTGCAGGGGGGCCATTTGACACACTCCTGACCTATGGCTGTGATTTCCGCAGAGAGCATTTTCCTGGGGGCTCCTGCTTTGGGGGGCTGTAACTCAGCCCCCCTAAATCCAATCTTCACCAAACCTGGAGGGCAGGTAGAGGAGAGTCAGCTGGAGACCTGCTGCAAGTTTGGTAACTCTAGCCCTTGGGGGGCACTCTACCACATCACAAACCTCATGAACCCTTTCGTTAAATGGGAAGGTTTGTGATTTGTGAGAACCCATGAACCGGACAAAACTCCATTTTCCTGATTTGCGCCCATCCCTAATAAACATATTTATAGATATGTAATAGAATTAAATTCTTAAATATAATTTAGCTTTGTGTTCTCATAGTAATGGAGGTTATTTTTAAATGAAGTTGTTCATAGATCTTAACATTCTGCTTCAGTGGGGGTAAGTCATCCTCCTCTGAGCTACGCCTCCTGCACATTCCAAGGCAGGGTTTATGCAAATTAATCTGATTCCTAAGAGGACCAGTAGGAGGTGGATCTTCCCGAGTTAGAAAGCCTTGTGTGCTCCAGGCAAGACTTGCTTAGCCAGCTCCATCTTGTAGCCCCCCCCCCAAACAGTGAGAGGACCTAGTTTATTGGGGCCCTTGGGGCTTGCTTCTTCCAGCCATTAACTATGCCAAAGGCAGTTAAAAAACCTTCAACTGCCTCAGCAGCCTTAAAGCTTCTTGCAGTGGCAACCAAGAGCAAAAAGGCCAAAGCCACTTTAAGGGCTGGTTCTGTGCTGCTCACCTCTCCAGAACCATGCCAAGCCATTGTTGCTCCAGGCACGTGGTTGTGACAGTTGGTTAGGATTGCCTGATGATGGCCCAGGCCCAGCAGCAGTCAGGACTTCAGTTTTGACCATACGGTCTTCCAGTGTTCAGACAGGCCTCTCTGTATCTTGCTTACTGTAGCTAAAAATTCTCCTTCCTTCCTGGCTCTGTTATGGAGGGCTTAAAAGTTCCCTTGGTCGATGCCCCGGTGGATGCTCTGCATTCTAAGGCTGTGTTATCTCAGGATGGAGATAATGCCTTAAAAGACCCCACAGACAGAAAAAAATGAAGTAAGCCTGAAGAAGTTACATGAGGCTTCCCCCCTAGCTCTTAGAACTTCTGTAGTTCTCTCTTAATTTCTGCAGAGCTGCTGTAATATGGGTGGGTGATCTTCTGTAAAACCTAAACCCAGACCCCCCTCACCCACAAAATGTTATTGCTGAAGATCAAAAGAGTAGTGGAGTTCATGGTGCCTGAGCTCAGGCAGCCAACATTGTTATTCACTGCATCTGTGAGTTTGACATTGGAAAGTTGATCTCCTTTCCAAGTCTAATTTCTTGAAAAGCTGGCTACTGTAATTTGGGAAGTGGATACTTTTATTGTAATATAATAAGCTTAAATTTGTATCCTACTTTTTAGTTATAAATTCCTAAAAGGGGCTTTTACCCCTTTAAAAATCATAAAAATTAAGTCTTCTCTACACCATATTCTGAATATATTAGTCCCTGTTGCTTAATGAATGTTTAGCAACTCTTCCCAGGGCAGGGAGGTTTTATTTTGCTGAGAGATAAGCAGAAAGGAGCCAGGTACTGCTCTGCTTCTGAAGGTAGAGTGGAAGTTGCCTGGGTGGTGGGCTCTCTAGCTCCTCCTCCATGGATGAGAGGTCTTTAAAATTCTGTGGGCTGAGCACCTTAAAAAAACCTTTAGTGGTTATTGTGTCTTGTGTGGTGACCTCCATCTACACCTATATTAACTTCATGCTTCATTAACTTCACTGAGCTTGTACAAATTAACTCATACAGTAAGGACACAATGCCCACCAATCAGTGAGAAGGTTTAAATGGCTGTCGGGCTGACTGGCCAGCTTAAATATCGTGGCCCATGGCACCCTCCCCTTTTTTTGACCCCATTGGGATATGCAATAGGGAGTAAGTATTGTAGTCATTATGTATCCTGTGAGATGTGCATTTTTGCCTAAACCGTTTTAACTGTTGACTTTTACTGCACTTGTGCCCTAATTGTTTTAACTTCTTGTATTTTTATCGCACTTTTGTGCCTGTGTAAGCCGCCCTGAGCCCGTGTGCGGGGAGGGCGGGGTATAAATGAAATAAAATAAATAAATATGTGGCAATGCTTGAGTGTTAGGTTTGGTTCACTTCTATTTCAGCAGCTTCCACAGCTGACTGAAGATTGTTTTAGAAATTCGGCAGTTAGTTTGGTGGGAAATATGCACAAGGGAAAACAGCATGATAAATCCAGATGTTTGTGGACTTTTGGATTCCTACAGAACAAATGTGTTGGACTTTGTCTGGAATTTCTCAACAGTAAACACTGAATGTCAGCAGTTAGACCCGCTCCCCAAACATAGTATTACTTTATGTCTGTCTTACTGTGGGTGATAGTAAAGGACGCATGTTAGTAAAACATCCCTCTGGTGTTTTTCTTGATGTGATTATTTCACTTTATAAAATTAACACACAATCTATGTATTTAGATTCCTCAATTCTTACTGGATGATTGTTACAAAAATGGAATACCATGTCGAATATTTTGCACTCAGCCAAGACGTTTAGCAGCAATTGCTGTGGCAGAAAGGGTTGCTGCCGAAAGAAGAGAAAAGATTGGGCAGACGATTGGCTATCAGATCCGATTGGAAAGCAGGTCTAGCAAGTATTCTTTGTATATTTTGAAAGAAATTTAGAAGCTTTTAAAAAGAAAATTGAAGTAAGAGTCTAATACTTATTATTATGAGTCTTGCAAATTAACTTGGGGAGGGTAGTTGCCTATTTCCATTGCCACTCCTTGCTTTGTATACTGCACTTTCCTCCATTGGGCAACATTTCTCTTTCTTCCGAAGGATAGCAATGAGTTATTGCTGTTTTGCTTGGCACAGACCAGTGTCAATAGTGACTGCTTCTCATCTCACAAGCAGCTTCTTTGATGTTGCCTCTGGTTTCTGGAGGCTATGAGCTCTTTTGCTTTCTTCCTATGGTAGAGAGACTTTCAGTTCAGGGGATGCCATGAGAGCAGCATTCTAAAAGCCACATGCAGGGACTTAACTTTCCCAGCCTTAGATTTCATAGATGTGAGGTTGAAAACAAGGAGATTTCAGGAAGAAATCTTCTAACATGCCTGCTGGCTGTTTTCAAAAAGTATCCACCTTTTTGTTTTAAAGAGTAGGCCTACGTTTTGAGGGCAGTGATCAGTGCTCTAGGTAGCATGAGCAAAACAGAACAGAATGCAGCTTACATAATGTAGTGGTATTGTTTCTGCTACCTAAACTCAAAAAGCTCTTCAAGGATACAAGGAAGAATGGGGTTGCGTGGGAGCAGTTCTTACCACACGTGACCAGGCAAGTGGCTGGTCAGCACTTTGTGCACTTAGTAATGTTACACAAGGATACTAATGTTGTAATAAGAATGTAGATATTTTCAATGAGTTCTTTTACACTAAATATTTTTACATTATAAAGCTCTTAAGAATTTCCATGTTCTAAATTGTAGCAAAATAAAATAAAATTCCCCTCTGGAATCACCTTTTTTCATTAAAAAACAGGGTTTCTCCAAAGACTCTGTTGACCTTTTGTACTAATGGTGTATTGCTTCGAACACTAATGGCTGGAGATAGTGCCCTGTCAACTGTAACACATGTTATTGTGGTAAGTTGCTCTAATTACTTGTTGTGAAAATAATATTCAAGTACTTAATTTTTTGTGGGTTCTGTTGAACTGTTAAAATGAAAGCTAGTGATCAGATGGTCATCGATGAACGTGAGCCACTTCACTCAGTTGATTTTGTTCTAACTGAAGGAATGTCTGGAATAACTATAATGAGAACCTACAGTTTGTGTAGAAACAAATGGTTTGTTTATTTCTCATATTTGTGTCCCACCCAATCCCGCGAGTGGACTCAGAGCGGTCACATCATATTTCAACAGTTACAATAAAGTTTAAAAACACAATATAAGCATTTAAAATCAGTGGTTATAGCTACTGGTGAAAGTTCTGACGCATTAATGCAGATGAAAATGGCTGGTTACCGATGAATGGATGGCCAGTAGGTGGAAGACAGCAACCTCAGGGAGGCCCTGTGTAGACGCCCACTGCCTCAACCAAAAGCCTGGCGGAACAGCTCTGTCTTGCAGGCCCTGCAGAACTGTAAGGGGTGGGGGGCGGGCTTGATTTAAACATCTGTCTCATTTTGACATTTGTAAGAGGTTGCTGTAGTAATTTTTATTTTGGTTTTCAGCTAAATTCGAGCTTATTATACAGTCATAAATTGCCCCCTAGCACTCTTCTGCAAACAGAGAAAAATCTCAAGCAAAAGATTAAGGGGAAATTATTTCTGCCCATTTTCCCTTTGAGCACAGCACCCCACGTCCTGTGCTGTTCTCGATGGTTCCCTGGAATAGTTTTCCAGAGATTAAGTGCTGGTTCCACTGGAAAATGGAAGGTGGCAGAAATATTTCTGCCAATTCAGTCTGTTTGCAAAATGACTGGTTCTGATCCAATATGCTTTTTCTTCAGATAGTAGTATCAAAAGTAAGAGTGTTTCAGTTGTGTTAACTGACAAATATATCTACAAAGATATTTAAAATTTATTTTTGCGTTTTTGTGCATATCCTTAACATTTCTGTTTGTAAGAGGAAGGTTGTGCAATGACTTGATTCAGATGAATGTTTCTAAGTAAGCATGATCACTGTATAGACAAGTGGGCAATCCACGAAGGCTTTAGGGGAGTGGAACATCTCATCTTCCCTGTTGGTTCCTGTAACACCCACAGTGATAAGCAGTGGCTTTATTTATTTATTAAATTTATATCTCACCCTTCCCAAATGGGCTCAGGGCAGGTAACAACAAAGTGCATAAACAATTAACAATGAAGTACATAAACAATTTTAAAACCAATAATATAATTAATTCTTAAAACAGCTAAAGCCCTCCCACAGTTAAAAGATGGTGCATTAAGTGTAAACAGCCCCCCCCATACTAGCTGGGCGAGGGGGCGCATATAGATGTTGAATAGCATTGATGAGAGGAGCGCCCCTTGCGGCACAGCACATTCAAGTGGGTACCGCTTGGAGACCCTCTCACCAAGTGCCACCCTCTGTCCCCGACCATGAAGAAAGGAGGAAAACCATTGTAAGGCAGTCCCCCTAACTCCTGTGTTGGTGAGGCGGTGGGTCAAGAGGTTGTAATCGACCATGTTGAATGCTGCTGTCAGATCCAAGAGCAACAGAAGCGCTGACTCACCCTGATCTTGCTGTCTTTGGAGGTCATCTGTGGGGGCACCCAATGCCATCTGCATCCCATGCTTGGGGCAGAGAGTATGCATGGTGTACTGGGTAGGGAGGCTTGTAGCTGCAAAGGTGTCCTGTGTACTACCTGTTCCTGGTGGTGATAGGAGCTGAGATTGGAGTAGAAAGTGTGCCAGACACACTTCCTTCTCCAGCCCCCCCATTAGTGGCTGGCAGTTGCTGGGGGTAGTGATGCTTGGTAAAGAAAGCACTTTGGCATATTTTCTTATCCAAGCCATCTGTGATCATATTGTTGTTGAGGCATTGTAGAGTCTCTGAACTTCTTTGTGTTTTGGAGTATTTAAACTTATTTTTGTAAGCTTTGAGATTTTTCTGTAAACTTGGGCTCCCTCCAAGCTTGTAGAAACCTCTTACCTTTCTGTACTTTTGTGATCCATACTAAGGCTAATATTGCCTGTATGGTAGCAAATCATGTATGATTGATGTTTGCAAAGTAAATAAAATTATAACCAAGAAATGCCTAATTTTATAACAGTGGGTTGCATGGTATGATGTGTCAGAATGTTGTTAAAGAGCATGTTTGCTTGTTTTTGTTGCAGGATGAAGTCCATGAAAGGGATCGGTTCAGTGACTTCTTACTTACCAAGTTAAGAGATACATTACAAAAACATTCAACTTTGAAATTAATACTTTCCAGTGCTGCCCTAGATGTGAACCTCTTTGTCAGATATTTTGGAGGATGTCCAGTGATATATAGTAAGTTTAAACATTAGAAGGAGCTTAGCTACTAAATTCATTTTTAAGATATATTCCTCAACTTAAATTTAGAACAAGCCAAATCCTGGTAACAAATGACTGAAATGTAAGAATTTGTTCACAAGAATATGTGGCAAAGATGCAATGAATTAAAATTGTGTTCTGATTCATCTGTTCTTTAAATGAATCATTTCTATTGATCCTGCAATGTAGACTTTTTAATAGTGTAATATTTTATCTTAATGATTTTAATTTTAATTCAATAATCTTCATTCCTAAAGGAAGGCAGAGTTCCAAAGAGATATTTTAGCATCTCTTAAGACTGCATGTGTCCAGCATGACTTTTCTGATTAAAATGCATACCACCATAAACAGCTGTTTTATCACTTTGCTATGGAATGGTGAACTGCTGATTCTGAACGCACACTAATCCAAAGCCCCCCATATATCTGGAATTAACAGTGTAGCTCTTTAGATAGTGGCTTAAATACTTAAACATGAAATCTGTAGAATTGCCAGTGGTACTTTACTTATTTTTTATAGTGCTTCCCTCCCTCTGCAAGAAAACATTGTGATTGTTAAATCTTACCTCTGGTGCTTGTATGTTTTTAATGGCTGTTGTTACCTATTGATAACTGTTTTGTATGAGTTTTAATATTGTAAGTAGTCTTGAGTACATTATTTAAGTACAAAGGTGGCCTGTCATATCAAATTTTCAACATGGCACCAGCTGTGGATCTTTAAATGTGGAGATTGGGGCCATGTATAGTGAAAGAAGATTTGCAGAATTTTTTTTTTTAAATGGATGGGACTGCTAAATTCTCCCAAACAGAGGAACACAAACAACATAAAGGTACTGTGAGCAGTGGGCAGCCAAGCAGGGCAGCAGGGGGGGGCGACAGATGAGCAAGTGGGGTGCTGCTTCCACTGGGGTTCTCCCTCCTTTGCAAGTTTCTAGTGGGACCCTGTGGTGGCACTGCTGGAGGGAGTATGAGTATGAGTTCAGGCTGCCACCATGTATGCCAGGTTGGTGGTGCTTTGGAGTGCTGGGGGAGCACAGATGGAGCTCCCTCTCACCAGCTACCTTGTGAATCAGGCAGGCGGTGGCACTGCAAGCAGGCCAGACTGGTGAGCCAGGGAGGATGGAATGCCTCCTGCAAGTCTCATGGGTCCCCCACCTGTAAATATTCTAATAAATAAATGAAAAGGCAGTTTGGCATGCATTGTATGCATTAGCAATTCAGAGTAAAAGGTTCACTGAGCTTCTGGAAGTCCCTAAATGTCACATGCCTAAGGGAGATCAGTGAACTAAGGCCGTTATTACTAGTATTCTCTTCTCTTATCCTTTGGTACTGATGTTGAAATTTGCTTCCGTCACTGCCAGGGTTTTTTGCAGTGTTCCCTTCCCCCTGCAGAAAATGAACAAAATGAAACACAAACAAACAAAAAGCCCCATTGAATCTTGGGCACCTTTTTTGTCTTAATGAAACTCGGCATTGATTCAGAGACTCACAGAGCCAGTGCGGTGTAGTGGTTAAGAGTGGTAGACTCTAATTTGGAGAACTGGGTTTGATTCCCTACTTCACATGCAGCTGACTGGGTTCACTCAGAGCTCTCTCAGCCCAACCTACCTCACAAGGTGTCTGTTGTGGGGAGAAGAAGGGAAGGAGATTGTAAGCTGCTCTGAGACTCCTTCGGGTAGTGAAAAGCAGGGTATAAAAAGATCAGCTGCTGCTTCTGCTGCTCCTGCTGCTTCCACTATATATATAGTGAGATCCACATGCAGCTAAATTGTGGTGATATCTGCTACTGAGTTCACAGCTTCTATGTTTTCAGAAAGACAAAGACTTGAAAGTGTTGTGGATGTAGAGTTGTTCATTAATTGACCTTGCGTCAATTGTTTGTATCCCAGTTTGCTGCGTACAGCTCATGGATGCATACTAAAGAACAATGAGAAGAGTTTACCCATGAGGACGACTTTGCCAAAAAGCCCAAATACAGAGCCAGTGCAGTGTAGTGGTTAAAAGTGGTAGACATGAGGACGACTTTGCCAAAAAGCCCACAACCAAAATACAAACAGTAGTCAGGGATTTTCTAATCTTGAGCCCAGTTACCTAGCATCTTCAATTAACCTGAAAGGCGAAGGATAGAGCATTCAGCTGGTGTTTTAGTTTGCATGTGCTTCCTGGATATTTACATAACACTCCTGTAATAGCAAGAGAGCCTTCTGTTTAATGGCTTGGCTGTGGTTGATCTCGGAGTAGTGTCTTCAAGCAGTTTCTGAGCCTTTAACCTCTAATGGGGAACATTGGCTGCTTTATAAGATAGGATGGCAGGGTGGTACTAGAACAAAGTACAGAATTTCAATGAAGTTGTTTAGTGTTCTCATTTCTGTTTTATCAACTAGCGAGTTTATTGTAACTTTAAATACAATATTGATCATTTAAGTAACTCATGAACGATTTATGTGGTTTTATGTTTTCAGTACCAGGAAGACCATTTGAAGTTAAAGAGATGTTTTTGGAAGACATATTAAGAAGTACAGGCTATACAAATAAAGAGATGATAAAATACAAAAAGGAAAAACTTCGAGGTTTGTTTCTGTATATGCAGGTGCTGAGTGGAAAGTGTTTTGTTGATGTTTAAAAACTATTAAAAGGAGGTTGCAAAATGTAATGTATACAAGGACTGCAATACTTTTTAATTTTAGCTTTATTCTTTCTGTGATACATAAAATACATTATCTAGAGGAGAAACAACAGACAACTCTGACTGAGTGGTATTCTGCGCAAGACGATAGCAAGCCAGAATCTCAACGACAGAGAGCAATTCCGAATGTAGCTGAAGAATATGATTTGTTGGATGATGGCGGTGATACAGTTTTCAGTCAATTGGTACACATTTTTATAAGTATTCTAAGATTTTGTGTTGTTGGAAATACTTTATGACATGGAAGCAGTATGATCTAGATCCAAAGCACCCTGCCTAGCCTTCTCTTTCACTGCAGAGTCAGATGCGTCACCGCACGTGTAGTAGGGATGAATGCATAGAGATTTCTGTGAGTTTAAGGGATGCTGGCCAATAGGCAGAATAAGATCACCTTTCCAAATGGCATCACTGTACTTTAAAAATATTAAATCATCAGTTATAGTGATCTTGTCATTGTGGCTTTTATTTAATCCTATGTTTAGTAATATATGGAGCTGCCCCCTTTGCTGGTGCCTACTTACTTATTGTGTTTGGAGCTTGTTTTCTCTCCTGGAATAGAGACTGGCATTGTGCCATAGTAATGCTCCTCTTTCCATTTGTAGTTGATTATATATGGTGTGAGGTGGGAGTGCCATTAAGAATAGAGAACACAAACAGCAAAGATTTCAGCTATAGCTGTGGATCTTCGTGCATGTAGTCTTGATTGTTGCCAAAGGGATTTGCATCGGCTTTTAAACCTGTATAAGTGTCTACAATATAGTGAAGCTAGAAAATCTTTTGAAATGTTGGTGCCTAATACCTTACCAGTTCCTTATAACTTTCAGAATTAGATGGTGATGGTAAAGTGTTCTGTATTTTCTTTTTAGGCTGAAAAAGATGTCAACTGCCTTGAACCATGGTTAATTAAAGAGATGGATGCTTGTCTGTCTGATATCTGGTTGCGTAAAGATATTGATGCCTTTGCACAGGTGTTCCACCTTATTTTAACTGAAAATGTCAGTGGTAAGTTCGTGCAGGTAATGTTTTTTCCTCTTGAATCATACATCTAAATCTATAAGTCATATATGCCTGAACAATTTGCTTGGAAAATTATGAGATTTATTCTTTGCATAATTCAGGTGTGATTTTTTAAATGCCACCAGCTGTCTGGAGATTAGTTAGAATATTTTTAGACTGTCTTAATATTCTACAACAGGGCTCCCCGGCCTTTTTGAGCCTGCAGGTACCTTTGGAATTTTGAAACAGTATGGTAAGCGCATGGCTGCTGCAGGGGGTGGAGTCAAACAATGGTAGCCACAGGTTACCTTCAGTTAACACAGTGAAAATGCTTGTGCTGTGGTGGCAGCTGTTGTGAAAGCAATATTTGTAAAAATCTATACAGCCAATCAAATCTCCATTGGCCAATTAGAAGCCTTGATGGGCAGAAGACTCACCTGGCCCCACCCACTTTCTAAGCATATTTACTTCTCACAGACTGAAAATCTAAACCTTTGTTCATTTTTAGTTTAGAATCATGGCATTTGAATGTCAAGGTAAACTGGAGCTTGAGTAAACCAGGAAGTTTTCAGTCAAGTACTATGTGCTAGAGCAGGGGTCTCAAACCTTTTGGAGCCTGTGGGCACATTTAGAACTCTGACACAGCATGGTGGACACAGCAGCAAAATGGCTGCGGCAGGAGGTGGAGCCAGCCACAAAATGATTGCCACATCTTAACACCAGTAGCTTAAGCTATGGTGGAAGTTGCTGCCGAAGCAACATTTTTTAAAAAGCTGCATAGCCGATCAAATCTCCAGTAATCAATCAGAAGCCTTGCCAGGCAAAAGCCCTACCTGGCCCCACCCACTTCCTAAAAACACATGACAGATGTCAGAAAAGGTATCTGAAGGTGCCACAGTGCCCGTGGGAATCACCTTGGGGACCCCTGTGCTAGAGGATGAGGGAGGTGGGAGGAGCAAAGTGAGCACAAGAACAAGCTGTTTTTGTGCCCAGTGTCAGTTTAATCGATGTGTTGTGTGACCTGGATGCTTTCATATTCTTAATATGATTCTCTGCTTGTTTACTTGTAAGTAGGTCTCATTGTGTCTTGGTGCCGGGTACATGCACATAGGCATGCAGTCTGGGTAACGATACAGCTCAATGAAAGATGACAATGAAAAAATCTGTCTTTTTAAAAAGTTTCAGTTGACAGTAATAATTTTTGGACAACATTTGGAAGAATAACATGTGCCTGAACATTTTCTTAATTTAAGAAGAAAAATTAATGTTCTGTTTCTCTTCTGTTCTAGTGGACTACAGGCATAGTGAGACAAGTGCAACAACTTTGATGGTAGCTTCTGGAAGAGGTTTCTTGAGTCAGGTTGAACAGTTGATTGGAATGGGAGCAAATGTTCACATCAAATCATCCAATGGCTGGTAAAAAAAAGAGAAATGAGTACAAAAGAGTTGTGCTATAAATATTAGTTTTGGTGTTAGATAAACATTTGTTTCTAAATGTGACTACAAATAAATGGAGACACAATCTCAAGATTAGGATACAGTATCTTAATATCCTGGTTAAAGGCAGTACGGTAGATGGAAAAGACCACAGCTTTTGACTGTTCTTTGTGCTTGCATAAATTGCTGCAAAATGTACAGACAACTAAAATCCTAGCCATTTTTTTTGTAAGTACCCCCCTGTGATACCCACTGGAATGTGGAGGGCCACAGGGGGCGATCCTCTCGCCAATGCTATTTAACATCTATATGCGCCCCCTTGCCCAGTTTGTCCGGAGGTATGGACTGGGTTGCCATCAATACTCAGATGACACCCAGCTCTGTTATTGGAAGGCCATCTGTCCTCTGCCCCTGATAATTTGGCCGAGGCTTTGGAGGCTGTGGCTGGATGGTTGCGGCAAAGTTGGTTGAAGCTAAACCCATAGAAGACGGAGGTTCTGTACCTGATTCGGAAGGGAGGGGTTATCGGTATGAGGTTCCACACGCTGGAAGGGACATCTTTGGTGCCGGCCCAGAAGGTGAGGAGTCTGGGAGTGACACTGGACGCCTCTTTCTATGGAGGCCCAGGTTACTGTAGCCGCCTGATCTGCCTTTTCCCATCTTCGGCAGATTAGATTGCTGAAACCCTATCTCTCCCCCAAAGACTTGGCTACAGTGACCCATGCAATGGTCACTTCCAGGCTTGACTACTGTAATTCACTCTACGCAGGCTTACCCTTGAGGCTGACCCAGAAATTACAGCTGGTGCAAAATGCAATGGTGTGCCTGCTAACAGCGACGCCTATGCGGGCTCACGTTTGGCAGGTCCTCCGCCAATTGCATTGGTTACCAGTAGAGTTCCGGGTGTTGGTAATAACCTTTAAAGCCTTACATGGTCTGGGACCGGCATATCTGAAGGACTGTCTCTTCCCGTATATGCCCCAAAGAGCATTACGTTCTAAGGACCAACATCTCCTGGTAGTCCCTGGCCCAAAAGATGTCCGATTTGCCTCGACCACGGCCAGGGCTTTTTCTGCCCTGGCCCCTGCCTGGTGGAACATGCTCCCCATTGAAATTCAATTCCACAGGTCCTGCAAGATGGAGCTATTCCGCCAGGCCTTTAGCTGACACAACGGACATCCATATATGGCCTCTCTGAGGTGGTTGTCACTCGACAACTACTGGCTGTTGCCAGGAACCTCCCACAATCAGGGAATTTGTTTGTTTGTTTGTTTTTTGTTATTGGCTGTGACCACCATTTTAATATTTATGAAGATGTTTTAAATTTTAATGTTATTTTATTAACAGAATGTTTGTATAATGATACTGTTACCCACCCTGAGCCCACTTTTGGGAAGGGCGGGCTATAAATGTGAACAAATAAAGAAATTGAATGACTGCCATGTTCAGTCATATACAGCCTAATAAATCATACAGTAGAAGAAGACTCGGACTAGAAATATTATGCTGAATGTAGATGAATAGGATTAAAAACCCTTTTTGCTGCTTTTGTGTTTAAGCAAAATGATTGATTTTGATTTAATTATTATAGGACAGCTTTGGACTGGGCTAAACACTTTGGACAAACAGAAGTAGTTGACCTGTTGGAATCCTACTGGTAATGTTTCCTAATTTTAGAATTAAATGCAGTGTATAGCACTGCCTCCTTTTTGAAGCTTTGTGCGCCCTTTAAAATTCATAGATGGTTCAGGTACTTGACACTTTCCTTTCTTGCAGAGCCCACTCTGCTCCTTGGTTCACTAAGGAACGGGTTATTTAAACAGATTGGCAGACCTCTAGTGTGCTAATAGAAGAAAACTCATGCCTAACAGGTTCAGACACAGCACATTTTGTGACTATTATGTGGTGGTGGTGATGAAGCAGGTTCATTTCTCTGCCACCTTTGGGCCTACCTCCTCTTCTTCTTCTGCTTCTTCTTCGTAAAACAAGCACAGTGCCCTCTAGACCGTACAGAACTGTGGATGATTCTTTGAATCCTGGCTTGTGTGTTGTATTTATTTTGAAGCTGCTCTTTAACAAAGCATTTGAGATACAATAACAACTTTTTTCTGTTATTTATGTAATATGTAAGGACCATTTGTATTATGAACTATGAAGTACAGTAGCCGCAAATCACAGTGATTGCTTGTTGTTAGATTTTACACAATGATCCCGGTTTGTTTTTGTGCCTAATGTAATACCTGTCAATTCTGTGGACCATTAATGAAAGCCTGTGTAAATACTCCCTCCTGGGGTCTATTTTATTCAAAACATGAATGGAATTTGAACCAGAAAGGTCAATACCATATAGACTTGAGCAGCTTCAGGATTTGTATTTGGCAATTGACACCTTTTGCCTTACTGTACAAGTGTTTTATTTGTATTGTATGTATATATTTCAGTGCTTCATTAGAGTTTGGTAATCTAGATGAAAGTTCCTTGGTCCATGTGAATGCTGGAGAACTTAGTGCAGAAGACAGAGAACTCTTGAAAGCTTATCATCACAGTTTTGATGATGAAAAGGTGGATCTCGACCTTATTATGCATCTGCTGTATAATATCTGTCATAGTTGTGATGCAGGTAAAACAAATATAATTTTATTTTCAATTTAATAAATTGTTTGAGGTTCAGAGTTTGAGGATAAGAGTCTTGCTCACCCTACACCAATGTTGGCCATCCCCAGCATGTCTACTGAACACCAGCCCATTTTGTTCAGCAAGCCCAGCTGGTTCTCTACCCAAAGAACTGAGGTGATGGCAGTGAGGCTCAGCTTGTTCGCAGGTGTCTAGCAAGCCCAGCAAGCCCAAATTACTAAGGTGATGGCAGTGAGGCTCAGATTGTTCGCAGGATTGTTCGCCAAGTATGACTCTTGTCCTCACCCCCCTCTGCCAGCATGTCGACATCTTCAGACGTTGATCAGGGTATTTTGTCCAAAAAAGGTTGTCTACCCCTATTGTACTGGCCTGCATGACCTGTTTATGAGCTTCCTAAAAGTATCTGGCATCTTACTATTTACAGCAGTATACTAGATTAGATGTACTTTCTGACTGCTTTTAGGATTACATTTGATTTGTGAGCATGTCCAACTTGCTTAAGCCACCGCCTCTCTCTCTTAAAGTAAATATGCATATGAATGTAGGTATGCAGGTCTTGCTTCACATTACAAAATCTCTATGTATATTGAAGAAAGGCATGCAAACCTTGAATGTACAAACCTTCATGCTGTATGTAGAATGAACACACCAGCCAGGACTTAGTTTGAATTGGATCATAATCAGTGCAGCTATTTTCTCTAATTCCCTTAACTTCAGTATTGTATCTTAAAGGGGCAGTCTTAATTTTCCTTCCTGGGTATGATGAGATCGTTGGCTTGAGGGATCGCATACTGTTTGATGACAAAAGGTTTGCTGATAATCCACACAGGTAAATTTCTGTACCTTTAAAAAAATTAGTTTTTACTTTTATAAAATGATATTTCTAACAGTTGGGCTGCAGATCACAAATCTTTCAGTGTTATTCTATTCTGATACATCTTCAGTGGGTTTTCCCCCCCAGACTGACAGTAAACTTCTATACTGGACATTTAGTCAAAAAGAGGCAAATTATCTGGTTACATTTTTTAATGGTTTCAGCTGTTTAAAAAGGGACAGTAATAGACTGTCCTATTTGTACAGCATTACACTTGAGCTGTGGTGGCTCAAGTGGTTAAGACGCTGAACTGCAGGCTGTGGAAGGTCAGTAGTTCAGCAGTTCGAGACCCGGGTGCCGCAAGACGGAGTGAGCTCCCGTCTCTAGTTCCAGCTCCTGCCAACCTAGCAGTTCGAAAGCAAGAAATTGCAAGTAGATAAATAGGTACCACTTTGGTGGGAAGGTAACAGCGCCTTGGTGTTTAGTCATGCCGGCCACATGACCATGGAAACGTCTTCGGACAGCGCTGGCTCTTCGGCTTTGAAATGGCATTTTTTAATGGTTTCAGCTGTTTAAAAAGGGACAGTAATAGACTTTCCTATTTGTACAGCATTACACTTTATAAACCTAGATTTGCCTTTGCATTTATCCACTTTCAAACTGTGCTAACATCCAGGCTAACTCGTCAATGTACCCAAATACTTCCAGATCAGTGCTTATGTATTAGTGGAACTCTAGAACTGGAAAATCTCCCACGTTATGTTCTGTATAACCCCCTCTACTCTGATCATAAGTATAAATTTTTCAAGGTTGGCTTAACCCACTAAAACTGGAGATCAGAGCCAGAGAAAATAATGTAGTTATTGTACAACATCCCCACACACACACCAATAACTCACATGTTTTCTCTTTATGCATGGGTGGCTAAGAAACTTTTGGCCATCGCTGTACCTGACCAAGCAATAAATTGGTCAGACTCATTGTAGTTTAATTTGTTTTATGGGAAAGAAACCTGAACTTTATTGTTCTCTTATTATAAATGTTATGTTTTGGACTTTGTTTGGCTGTTGTATTTTTAAATTCTGTATGGCGTTTGTATTTTTAAAATATTTGTTCTTATGTTAAGATTGCAGTGTCTTTTGGCTATCTGCAAGAAATAAACATGACTATGATGGACTGTCAAGGGTTAATGTCTAACAGAGTCTGAGAACCTTTGAGTGACAGGTCAAAATCCTGGGTCTGTGTATAAAGAAGGATTTTGGGAACTTGTTTACAATACTGTTCCAAACCAGTTAATTGCTTCAGTTCTTCAGAAGTCTTGACTTTGTTCCCCTTATCCCATCTGGTTAAGGCTCTGTCTAAATGACAACCTAGCTGTGCATATGTTTCACCCTGTTTTCTTCTGATTTCTCTAAAAGCTTTCCTCCTTTGTTTGGCTTTGAGAAATACCTCTCTCTCACTCTTTCTTTGAAGAGCAAATAATTAGAGGTCTCCTCGTCTCTCATATTGGTGTAAACTTCACTCAGTCCTCTACTAATCTGTGGGGCAAATAAATCATTCTGTCCTCATCTGGGACCGCAAAGTCTCTACAAGTTCATTCAAAGCTAAAGAAAAGTGCCCCCACATCGTCATCTTTTTGATAATGAAATTTCTGTTGGTTCTACTTGGAATATAAAGCGTAGGGGAGCATGCGGGAAGGGCCATTGGAATACCCCCACACACACCTCCCCAATGGGCAAGACTCACATCGAGAGTCAACTCCACTCTTTCTGCCTCAATCCTGGCTTATTCTTTTTCTCTCTCAGCTTCTATTGTATCCAATTCAATTTTAATTCTCATAATTTCCACCTCTTGCCTAGGATTTTTCCTAGCTGTGGTTTCTTCCTCTCCCTGACTATCCCTATGTGCCTTTCTGGGTTTGCTTGGTGGTGCCATTTCTGAAAGGTATTCTGAGGTAATTCCTCCCAAATTTATAAAATCTTTGCTTATTTTAGTGTGTATTTGTGGTGGGACAAACTAGTTGTGGCTTTTATTTTCATATCATGAAGCTTCCACCAAATATGATGATCGCACCCTCTTCCCTCCCTTGCACGGACTTAATCAATGATTATAATTTATAAATGAAGTAGAAGCAGAATAGAATTGGCAACTTGTAGAATAATATTATTAAAGAATGTTAAATTCATTTTCTGTTGTAGAACAACTTGTAATTAATTTGTAAGAGTTTGAAATTAATAAAAATTTAATTTGAAGAAAACAGAAATGTAAAAAATACAAACACCATACAGAATTTAAAAATACAACAGCCAAACAAACTCCAAAACATAACATTTATAATAAGAGAACAATAAAGTTCAGGTTTCTTTCCCATAAAACAAATTAAACTACAATGAGTCTGACCAATTTATTGCTTGGTCAGGTACAGCGATGGCCAAAAGTTTCTTAGCCACCCATGCATAAAGAGAAAACATGTGAGTTATTGGTGTGTGTGTGGGGATGTTGTACAATAACTACATTATTTTCTCTGGCTCTGATCTCCAGTTTTAGTGGGTTAAGCCAACCTTGAAAAATTTATACTTATGATCAGAGTAGAGGGGGTTATACAGAACATAACGTGGGAGATTTTCCAGTTCTAGAGTTCCACTAATACATAAGCACTGATCTGGAAGTATTTGGGTACATTGACGAGTTAGCCTGGATGTTAGCACAGTTTGAAAGTGGATAAATGCAAAGGCAAATCTAGGTTTATAAAGTGTAAGGTAAAGGTAAAGGTAAAGGTTCCCTTGCTCGAAAGCCAGTCGAATCCGACTCTAGGGTTGTGGTGCTCATCTCCGTTTCAAAGCCGAAGAGCCAGCGCTGTCCGAAGATGTTTCCGTGGTCATGTGGCCAGCATGACTAAACACCAAGGCGCACAGAACGCTGTTACCTTCCCACCGAAGTGGTACCTATTTATCTACTTGCAATTTCTTGCTTTCGAACTGCTAGGTTGGCAGGAGCTGGAATACTTCCAGATCAGTGCTTATGTATTAGTGGAACTCTAGAACTGGAAAATCTCCCACGTTATGTTCTGTATAACCCCCTCTACTCTGATCATAAGTATAAATTTTTCAAGGTTGGCTTAACCCACTAAAACTGGAGATCAGAGCCAGAGAAAATAATGTAGTTATTGTACAACATCCCCACACACACACCAATAACTCACATGGTTTATCTTTATGCATGGGTGGCTAAGAAACTATTGGCCATCGTTGTATCTGACCAGGCAATAAATTGGTTAGACTCATTGTTGTTTAATTTGTTTTATGGGAAAGAAACCTGAACTTTATTGTTCTCTTATTATAAATGTTATGTTTTGGAGTTTGTTTGGCTGTTGTATTTTTAAATTCTGTATGGCGTTCGTATTTTTTAAATTTTTGTTCTTATGTTAAGATTGTAGTGTCTTTTGGCTATCTGCAAGAAATAAACATGACTATGATGGACTGTCAAGGGATAATGTCTAACAGAGTCTGAGAACCTTTGAGTGACAGGTCAAAATCCTGGGTCTGTGTATAAAGAAGGATTTTGGGAACTTGTTTACAATACTGTTCCAAACCAGTTAATTGCTTCAGTTCTTCAGAAGTCTTGACTTTGTTCCCCTTATCCCATCTGGTTAAGGCTCTGTCTAAATGACAACCTAGCTGTGCGTATGTTTCGCCCTGGTTTTTTCTGATTTCTCTAAAAGCTTTCCTCCTTTGTTTGGCTTTGAGAAATACCTCTCTCTCACTCTTTCTTTAAAGAGCAAATAATTAGAGGTCTCCTCATCTCTCATATTGGTGTAAACTTCACTCAGTCCTCTACAAATCTGTGGGGCAAATAAATCATTCTGTCCTCATCTGGGACCGCAAAGTCTCTACAAGTTCATTCAAAGCTAAAGAAAAGTGCCCCCACATCGTCATCTTTTTGATAATGAAATTTCTGTTGGTTCTACTTGGAATATAAAGCGTAGGGGAGCATGCGGGAAGGGCCATTGGAATACCCCCACACACACCTCCCCAATGGGCAAGACTCACATCGAGAGTCAACTCCAGAACTGCTCCGGAGTCCCGGGAGAGGAAACACCGATTAGAAGAACTCCAGTTAAAGAGGAAGAACAGAATTCAGTAAAAGATTTTAAGAGAGCAGAGTAAAGAAATGGAGGCATATATATATATATTTATCTTAATTTCTATCTTACTTTATTGTAATTCATCTTATTATATTGATTTTGAAACAAAATATATACAGAATATATGGTAATAAACATAAGGAGATCCAAAGGGAAATTATGGGAGATAGAGTTTATAATTGCATTTGCACTGGAGTAATTTTGAGAGGCAGAAATATTTACTAAGGCATGCCAATTTCTATCGGACTTAATCAATGATTATAATTTATAAATGAAGTAGAAGCAGAATAGAATTGGCAACTTGTAGAAGAATATTATTAAAGAATGTTAAATTCATTTTCTGTTGTAGAACAACTTGTAATTAATTTGTAAGAGTTTGAAATTAATAAAAATTTAATTTGAAGAAAACAGAAATGTAAAAAATACAAACACCATACAGAATTTAAAAATACAACAGCCAAACAAACTCCAAAACATAAACATTTATAATAAGAGAACAATAAAATTATCTCAAAAGAATTCGTTTGAACAGCCTGTTACTCAAAGGTTCACAGTCTCTGTTAGGCATTGTCAATCCAACACAGTGACATAATAATACCAGAAAAAAAATTTCAATTCATTTATACTCCTTTTTGACACTAGGTTCCAAGTTTTTATGTTGCATTCTAATATGCAAACATCAGACCAAAAGAAGGTGCTAAAGACTTCATCCCCAGGCATTCGCAAAATAGCAAGTATCAAATAATTTTACATTTGTTCCTGTGAACCTTTTTTTCCTGTGTGGTATTACTACAACATAGTGTGTTGTCATTGCAGATTCTTTCTACTAATATTGCCGAAACCAGCATCACAGTTAACGATGTTGTCTTTGTGATTGATTCTGGAAAGATGAAAGAGGTACATTAACTTAAATTTGTGCTCTAAACTAAATATTATTAACCAATATTGCATTGTAGAGGGATATAACGTGCTATAATGTAAGCAAAATATCTTAGCGTTAAAAGGCATTTAAAGTCTACCTTGCAAAATAAAATTTGTGACAGTCACTTCAGAATGTAACTTTTGTACTTCTGTATATTTTGATGATGTGACTATTCATACTCCCTTGATCTTGTTAAATAACTTTTCTAATACTAGCATTTTCTTATGTTTTAGAAATCCTTTGATGCATTGAACTGTGTAACTATGCTAAAGATGGTATGGATTTCTAAAGCTAGTGCCATCCAGAGGAAGGGCAGGTAATACAAGTACAGTTAATTTGTTACATGTCCTGAAATTAGATGCTATACTTCTTTGGTTCTGTCTGTAATTTAAGTGTATAAAAGTTATTTCCCTTCCACATAATATTTTTTAGAATTACTAATGTAGTAAGAATTATTTTCACTTGAAATTGGTTTTAATAAAAATGACTTGCATGCTTCTTCTTTTGTAAGAATCCTTTTAGGCTATTCTGGAAAGAATGTAGTCTTTCTTTGATAGTTTAAGCTACTTCTACTTCACATCACCAGTTATAGGTTTACAATTTCTGTTGTCTTTATCAAACCATACCATATTTATTGAAGCCTTAAAGACAAAAAAACCCAAACCTCTTTTTATTGAAAAATATTGAAGTGTTTCTCTGTGGAACATTATCCACTTTGAAGATATCTTAGAGATAATCTTTGATCCTTTGCTTGCTAAATGTCCTCTTTCTATGTTTGTTTCACCTTAAATAATAATTTCTGTTAACAAGGGCAGGGCGTTGCCGGCCTGGAATTTGTTTCCGACTTTTCAGTAAGCTCCGATTCCAGAACATGCTTGAATTCCAGACTCCAGAACTTCTAAGAATGCCTCTACAGGTGAGTGATCTTTCATTAATCTGTACACAATTTCATATTACAATATAAAGAATGCTGCTATTTTACTTAATATTTGCTTCTTTGCTAAGCAAATAAAGTTTCCAAAGTATAAGGGGGATAACTGACCAGTAGTAAGTAGCTTGGTGTAGCATAATTAGGTTATTCATGCAATTATTTAGTACAGTGTTATATATCACCCTTCTGAGGAGGGTAGTATACATTGGTCTCCTACCCTCCTCCTTTTTATCCTAATAACAACTCTGTGAGGTAATTTAGGCTGAGAGAAAGTGACTGAGCCAAGTTCACCCATGAATTTTCATGGCAGAGTATTTGAATCTGGTTCTCCCAGGTCCAGCATTCTGACCATTACAACATGCTGGTTCTCTGATAGTTTTATTAGCATGAAGGTGCTGCTTGAGTAAGTTTGAATGATAGAACTGTGAAGTTGGAAGGCATCCATAGGGTTATGTAGTCCAGCCCTCTAGTTGGTACAAGACATCTCTGATTAAATCATTCTTCACAAATGGCTGTCCAGTTTCTGTTTAAAAATCTCCAGTGAAGAAAAACCCATATCCTCCCAAGGCAAGTTAAACAGCTTTTAGTATGCAGTTGTATTAATATTTAAATGAAATTTGCTGTCCTGTAGTATGAATGTATTGTTGCTAGTCTTACTCTCATAAGCAATAGAATGAGTGACATCCTTTCCGATCTCTAAATGTTGCTATTGTATTTCTTGATAAGTATCTCTTAAAACAAATTAGCTGCCATCTTTAACTCAATATTTGTGACTCTGTTGAGTCTGGCAATGGGGCTGATGCTGTATATGCAGTTTTGTTTGTATTGCCACTTGTGGAAAAGATCAAAATGACAATAAGACCACAAGTCATATTTCCCTTTGGCTTCTTCCCCTGTATTGTTTTAAGCAGAAATTTACAGCTAATGATCACTGAGACTTGGGCTGCATTTGTATGCTTGGGAGTAACTTGTGTTGTATTTGGAGAAATGCAACTCCAAGTAATGTGTAGGATTGGTATATAAATCCAGTTTTGCCATATACAGACCATAGTGACAGTGGTGTCTTTTATATCCTTTAATTATTGATCTTAAGTGTACTTGACGTTACTGTTTCCCAAATGGGTATGTTAAGTTTGCATAAGGCTGTAAGTCACCCATTGTCAATGTTGCTTGTAGAAGACGCAGGAACAAATTGATGGAATATTTCTGGGTTACATATGAAACCTAAAGTGATTCTTCTAGTGGATCCCTGTGGGTTACACATGAATCAGAAAGTGATTGTTTTGGTGGATCCCTGTAAAAAAATATCTAATATTCTAGGGTAAAGTACTCTCTGGCTTTCTGAAAACAGTGTCTTTAATTCGTAGGAGCTTTGTTTGCATACAAAATTGCTAGCTCCCATCAACTGTCCAATTGCTGACTTTTTAATGAAAGCTCCAGAACCACCACCTGCTTTGATAGTGAGAAATGCTGTACAGATGCTTAAGGTGAGTAAATGAAATAAACCTAGCTAACAAAAATGTTTAATTACTGACTTTGAAAATCTCTGCAAGCACTTCAGCGTCTAATACTTTGCCTCTCTAAAAGGAATTGCCTCCTATTCTTGCAGATGTCTAACGAAAAGTGACTGTTCCTGGTTACACATGAATCAGAAAGTGATTGTTCTGGTGGATCCCTGTAAAAAATATCTAATATTCTAGGGCAAAGTACTCTCTGACTTTCTGAAAACAGTGTCTTTAATTTGTAGGAGCTTTGTTTGCATACAAAATTGCTAGCTCCCATCAACTGTCCAATTGCTGACTTTTTAATGAAAGCTCCAGAACCACCACCTGCTTTGATAGTGAGAAATGCTGTACAGATGCTTAAGGTGAGTAAATGAAATAAACCTAGCTAACAAAAATGTTTAATTACTGACTTTGAAAATCTCTGCAAGCACTTCAGCGTCTAATACTTTGCCTCTCTAAAAGGAATTGCCTCCTATTCTTGCAGATGTCTAACGAAAAGTGACTGTTCCTGATGTCATCATAGAAACTGTCATTCCAATGAGAGGAGGGCGGGGTAAAAATACTAATAAATAAATAATTTTTTGAGTGCATGAGGCATACTTGGATGATATCAGAGCAGAAGAAATAAAAAATGAGCTAATTCTAATTTGCTTAGATATTAAATAGTGCTTCTTGTTCTATGCTGACCTCCACCGTCTGCTCATTTCTTAAAAACAGACAATAGATGCTATGGATACATGGGAAGATCTGACTGAACTTGGCTATCATCTGGCTGATTTACCAGTAGAGCCTCATCTTGGTAAAATGGTGTTGTGTGCTGTTGTTCTGAAGTGCCTGGATCCTATTCTGACAATTGCTTGTACTCTTGCATATCGTGACCCTTTTGTGCTACCCACGCAAGCCTCTCAAAAACGTGCCGCTATGTTGTGCAGAAAGCGATTTACCGCAGGAACATTTAGTGACCACATGGCCCTTCTCCGTGCTTTCCAGGTAATGTTAGTCAACTAAATTCTCATTTATGACTCCTATGTCTCTGAGTTGAGTCATCTTAGCTAAACTAACCCATCTTGATCAGCTTACTAGTGCAGCACTGGAAATAACTACAATTTATTCATATTGCTTCTGCTTCTATCCACCTCCCTGATGCTGCCAACTAAAGACAAAGTTGTAGGCTGTCCCCTGGGAAAAGGGTGTTCTGTCCTTCATGAGTGAGTGCTAAGGTAGATGATTCTAGCATTGTACTCAAGAACGGAAAACCTTTGATCCACAGTCACAAATGTACCGTTTGTTGGACCTCCAGTTTGTCCATGAGCATGTGTGTGTATGTGTGTTCCAAGAAACCATGGTATTCTAGTGGCTTTTCTTTCTTGTGAGGTGTACTTGAGTCTCAGCAAAAGCAGTGATGAGCAGTGTGGAGAAGCTCTAAAAACAAGCTTCTTCAACTCCTGGCAATCAACTCAGAGGCAGAGAGATGTTCTACCTTGTGGGCAGTGTTCCCTCTAAGCTGAGTTAGTGTGAGCTAGCTCACAGTTTTTTAGCTTCCGGCTCACACATCTTTGTCTTAGCTCAGGAAGAATGGCTCCAGAGCAGACTAATTTATGCAGGAGCCAAATCGCTCACTTACAACTTTAATGCCAGTAGCTCACAAAGTAGAATTTTTGCTCACAAGACTCCAAAGCTTAGAGGGAGCATTGCTCATGGGGGGCAGGAGGAGTTCATTCCTCTTTGAATTTGCATCTGGGACCCCACAGAGTAGCAAGTCACTAGCTCAGCTGGATTGAATTTGACCCTAAGCGGTATGTTTAAGAGGCTCTGTTGGGAGACAGCATAATTTGATTTCACATAGAAAGCTTTGCTTAGCTTAGCTTTCAGAACATGTTTAACATCATATACTGCCTTCCTATAGAACTACAGTCAACTTTTAAACTAACTTAATCCTGCAGGCATGGCAGAAAGCGCGAAGTGATGGCTGGGAAAGAGCTTTTTGTGAGAAGAACTTCCTTTCTCAGGCAACAATGGAGATTATCATAGGAATGAGAACACAGTTGCTTGGACAGCTTAGAGCTTCAGGTAACTATTATGAACCTGAAGAGCAGGCAACCCCCCCTTTTTGGATTTCATATGTACAGGTGTGGTGGATTGTGACCTTGTCCCTTCTGTGGATATGTGAGTTTACACTGGCACACTGCAATTACATACTGCTTGGTTGTCCTGACATAAAAATAAAGATGGTTCTGTGGCAGACATTTGAGCAATGTGTGGGTTTATAGTAGAGCTGGTATTTTTATTTAATAGTTGATGATCATGGCAAAAAAGTGGTAATCATTCCACCAAGATAAATTACACTGTCAGAAAGTAGCAAGAACTGTCAGAATGGATTCTACAAACTATGGGCAGAGTGTCCTGGGAGCTGCACCTAAGAATGGGAACTCTTCCATTGGCATGTGACACTCCAGTGATGGGAAAAAGAGTTGGGTTGTTTTTTCCCCCTACTCCTCACAGCAGCCCTTTGGACCTTATGACGTGTTGTGCAGGAGGATCCACTAAAACTGGCTTCATCTTTTTGTCACTCAAATCTTTTTCCTTTCTTTTCCTGATCAATTTAACTAGCACATAAAAATAGGGTCATAAGCCTTTGAACCTGAATGCAATGTGTATGCAGGCCTCCAAAATCTTGCATGGATATTGAAGGGGAATGCTACATTCTTAAGTGAAGTGAGGCATATAGCAGAAGAAAGTTATCATGAGTGAAACACTTCGGATTAATTACATAAAACAATAAAAAGATTAAAACTCCCTATATTGTTGCAACTAATTATTTCAAAAGAACTCTGAATTACTTCAAGCACATATTTTTGCTCCTGACAGTCAGTCATAGATGATATCAGGAAAACTGACCTAAAATGGCTAGTATTCTGAACATGTCAAATATGGGTTCCCAGATTCAGAAAAGCCAGGCACCAAAATGTTGTAAACAATTTGAAGCTTTAAATTAAACAAGATAATACTGCTAAATCTAGCAGTGTCCATGTGTTTCTAATTTCTTAGTCAGATTTTTCTTGCACTACTGTCACAATCCTACATAATTTCCGTCATCCAAATTGGTGGTGGTGGAAAATGCCGTCAAGTAACGGCCAACCTATGGGTTTCCAAGGCAAGAGATGAACAGAGGTGGTTTGCCATTGCCTGCCTCTGTGTAGTAACCCTGGACTGCCTTGGTGTTTTTTTTATCCAAGTACTAACCAGGGTAAACCCTGTTTAGCTTCTGAGAAATGACAAGACTGGCTGTATACCCTAAAAAAAAGTATAAGCTACCCCATTCCAAATACATATGCCAGAAATGGAGAATTGTTTTTCCTAATTTGTATCCTGTTCCTTGTTTATCTTCCAGGTTTTGTTAGAGCCAGAGGGGGAGGTGATATAAGAGATGTTAACACAAATTCGGAGAACTGGGCTGTGGTGAAAGGTGCCTTAGTGGCCGGAATGTATCCAAATGTAGTTCACGTTGACAGAGAGAATGTTGTCTTGACGGGACCAAAAGAAAAAAAAGTCCGATTTCATCCTACCTCTGTTCTGAGCCAGCCTCAGTATAAAAAGGTAAAATGATGTAAGAGTTAAAAATTATACAGACTTGTGGAGTAGGAATAAAGGCTTCTCTGTTACTCAGTGCCCAGTCCTGATGGCTTTAAATGCTTTGCTTATTCAAACATGCATTCAATGTGATCCTTGAATCAGAAGCCAGATGTCATTCTTAAAAATAAGTAGTTCGTAATAGAGTGAAAAATGCTTGCATGGTGCAATCAGCAACTGTGCTAAATTCCTCTGCTAAACATTTGAGTTAACGAAAACAGTGTTTTCTGATTTAATTCAGACTTCGGTGTTATGTAGACTATTAATATTTCTGTATTTATTTATTTTATTGCATTTATACCCTACCCTCCCCGCGAACGGGCTCAGGGCGGCTCACATAGGGCACAGAGTGCATACAGTATCCAAAAGTTAAAACAATTAAAAATCGGTTTTGACGGATGCACATATAAAACTCTTAACATCTTGCGTAGCAGAGGGGAAGGCTATGGTCATGGAAAGATGTTGCCCAGCCCTCCAGCGGTATCTCTCTATAAAGGAGCGGTGGTGGAAGTGGCCGTGGCGGCTCCTACTCGTAAGCCTGGTGGAAGAGCTCCGTCTTGTAGGCCCTTTGGAATTCCACAAGGTTCCGCAGGGCCATGATGTCCTCCGGGAGCGAATTCCACCAGGTAGGAGCCACCACTGAAAAGGACCTGGCCCTTGTTGCCACAAGCTTGGCCTCCTTAGGGCTCGGGGTCACCAGCCGGTGTTGTGACCCCGACTGAAGTGCTCTTTGGGGAACATATGGGGAAATGCGGTCCCTCAGGTATGTCGATCCTTGCCTTGTAGGGCTTTAAAGGTAAGCACCAACACTTTGAAGCGAATCCGGTATGCTATAGGCAGTCAGTGCAGCGCTTTCAGTACAGGTCGGGTGTGCTCCCAGCTAGGGACGCCCACCAACAACCTGGCTGCAGCATTCTGCACCAGCTGTAGCTTCCAGATTTGTGACAGAGGCAGACCCATGTAGAGAGCATTACAGTAGTCTAGCCTCGAGGTGACCATCGCATGGATCACTGTACCTAGGTCATTGCGGTCGAGGAAAGGAACCAACTGCCTCAAGATGGGACTCAAGATGGTTCATGAACAAGATAAAATTACATGCAAAATACATTATATAAATTAAAGTTCTCAGCAAAATTATAAACATTATATTTGAAGAGATGCTTCTTACCTAAAGAGGAAGAGGGTATACCTGCATTCCCACAATTGTCTGTACATGTTGGAAAGTTGAAACTTGACACAATTATTGTTTGTATGTATTAAGGAAGGAGAATCTGAAACCTCCAGATGTTTTTAGTTGGGGGGCAGATAATCCCTCCCTAAAATTTCAGAATAACTGTACATTATGTCCTTAATCTACAAATGTTTAGCACAGCAGTGGGTTGCTCAAATGTTGCTACATGTGAACATATGCATGAAACAAATGCAGGAAAGACGCTGCCAACACCCCCTCCCGCTGCTCATTGGTGCTGTCAAAGGTTTAAGTGCTGATGATGACCAACAGTTACAGTGGTGCAACCAAGAGATTACAAATGCATGGATTAGTGTGGCCAGGTCAGTTGAGTCTAGGAAAGGAGAAAAAAAATCAGTTTTAAAACTTCCTTTATTTGTTACTGCCAACAGATTCCTCCAGCAAATGGTCAAGTGGCAGCTCTTCAGGCACTTCCCACAGACTGGCTTATATATGATGAGATGACCAGAGCCCACAGAATAGCCAACATCAGGTGCTGTTCAGCCGTCACTCCTGTCACCGTGGCCCTCTTCTGCGGATCTGCTAGGCTGCCAAGTAATGCTTTGCAAGAGCCTTCATCCTTCAGAGGTATAATGTGGGAATAAGAAATGTTCTGTTCTGTTCTCCATTGGCCATTTATGTGTGGTTACCCCTTACCACTTGCTTAAGTAGGCAGGACTTGATGTTGTAATTAAGCTGCTTGATCCCCTTCCAGTTCTGCCTTTCACACAGAGCTGTCCTGTCATCCTTTAGAGTTCAGATTCTTTTTTGTTGTTGTTGGTGCATAACCTGGCTGTGTCAAGGTAGTCGGGTAATATCAACATAGAGGTTGTTATATTTTATTTAGATTAGTTTCATGAGTTACATATTGGTTCTTAAAGAGTAAACTCCTACATGATTTTTGTTTAAATGAACAGTTATATAGATGTAAAGTAAAAAATGTGTGGCTCTTGCTCTTATGCTTCTTATTAAATTTTGTAAGGATCCAAGTCCTGTTCTCTTCAGTACCTTGATATTTGAAAGTTGCTTTTTTTCCAATAAGTGTTTTTTTATTTTGAACAATATATACAACAGTACATTCATAACATATATTGACGCTATGCAATAATCAACTTTCTCAACCCTTAAGAGCCCTTTTAAAAATATAACAGATCTTTGTAATAAGAGTTGTTTGGAATCACTAAGTCCTCTTCTCTTCAGTACCTTGATATCTGAAAGTTGCTTCATGCATAATCTTTTTCTTATATGGAAAGCATTACTATAGGGAAAAGTAAAAAATGTAAAAAAATTTCCTGCAAAAAAATGTATTTGGCTGTTGTATAGATGCTTGGAAACCGTGATTGCCCACAGTATCCCAGCCAAATGTCATGCCATTTCCTTGTAGAAAAAAATATACTACTGTAAAACATGATTACAACTCAATGTGTATTCAAGCATAATTTCTTATATCACTCATGAATCATAAACTAGAACAATGTTTTAGTGTTGAGCTCTCACACTAACTTAAAAGATTGTCTTAGAGTCTGAGGGGTGTACTGAGATGTCAAAATTATACCTGATTGGAACTTTATTTCTAGACTTGTTTAATACTGTTTCATCATACTCCTTTCTTTTTAGGTCATTAAGATCTAGCAAACCAGCAGTGTCATAATTGATTAAGATATTGGAGAAAAGCTGAGGAAGAATGAAAATCTTCAGGTATTCGTCCTAGGATTCAGCAAGTGAATCAAGGATTGTCTGTCAGCTAAAAACATCTCTATGACACTGCTGGTATGTTGTATCTTAATCTGAAATTATACGTGGATTGTGTTGCATAGCATCTGTGTATTAATTGGGTATTATAGAAGCTCCAGCAGTCTACAGTTACAAAACTTCTTTGTTGACACAGGTTTCTTTTTTTTATTTCATAAATGCTTGCATCTACTAATACTTTGTAAATTTAGAAAACTTTGCTGCAAATATATATAGATGTGGTTAGTGTCACTTTCTAATCCTACAGGTATCTGGCTGACTGGTTAAGTAAATAACATAGTTATATCAAGTCTTAAAGACTTGGGTTATTTGTGGATTGTGGCTTGCTGCCGCTCCAATCTAGAAGTAGGAATTCAAATTGTGATTTATTTCGAGATCAGTTATTTTTTATTGAAATAAAGATTTAAAATGAAAGTCATTGTGAGTGCAGTATTTAAAAATACTAATGTGTAGAATCTGTTGTTTCCCCCCCTAATATAGTGGATGGTGTCCTCAATGACAGCAGTGATAGTGAGATGGAAGACAGAACAACGGCTAATTTGGCGTCACTGAAGCTGGATGAATGGCTCAATTTCAAACTGGATCCTGAGGTCAGTGCTTCATTGCTTTTTAACAAACAAAGACAAAAATCAGATCTTGAATACTTAGATCTTCAAGCAGTTTTTAAAATTGTAGTTCAATCGTATACATTTGACTTTTCTAGCAGAGGTCCATCAGTGGCTTTAGCCACAAGGTATAGATAGGAACTCTCAGTCTGGGGCAAGTGATGCACTGTATTCTTTGTGCTTGGGGGGGGGGGGCAGCAACAGTGGTAGGGCTTCTAGTGTCTTATCCTCACTGCTGGACCTCCTGATGGCACCTGGTATTTTTGGCCACTGTGTGACAGAGTGTTGGACTGGATGGGCCTTTGGCCTGATCCAACATTGGCTTCTCTTACGTTCTTAAAGGAAATAGGGAATTCTCTACTCTCCAACTCCCTCAGTCTGCACTAGCAGAACTAAACAATGCAGTGCTTTTGTTTAATTAGTGATGTGCTGCATTTAGAATTCTATCTCAAAAAAAGGGCTACCGTAGAACTGTAAACAGTGCAGAAAAGGGAAACCAGAGTAATCAAGATGTTAGAGCATTCTCCCTTTGCAGAAAAGCTGAAATGAAGTGTTTGGAGTTTGAGATGGCTGTTAGCTCTAAATGGAACTTCTTTGCTTGGGCAGTATGCCACTGAATATTGCAAAGTTTCCTCTAAGCTGCACTAGGGGATGCTGGTGTACAACATTTTAGCTGGCAGTGCAGAGAACTTAGCTGGCAGCGCAACCTACAAGTGAACTGAAAAGGCATTTTCCCCCTTCATTGGAAACAATGGAGGATGGAGCACCTTCTTCTGGGGTTCATAGAATTGGACCCCCTGGTTCAATCTTTTTGAAACTTGGAGGGGGTTGAGAAGAGGTGCAAATTTGGTGACTCTACCTCAAAAAACAGGGGCCCCCAGAGCCCCAGAAAACCCTACATCAATTCTCCATTATAGCCTACTAGCAGTAAAGTTCGTTGTAGAAGCAATACAACGAGCTAGAAAGATGTGAAGCATAACAAATGCATAGAAAGGTACGGAAGTGGAAGTAAAGTCTCACAAACGCAGCCAGGCCTC